GGTCCTGTCACTGGGCACCACTGAAAAGAACTTGGCCCCATCCTCCTGACACCCACCCCCCTCCGCACGCGCGGAGGGGGCGCGGCGCGGCGGCGCGACGCGGCGCGACGGAGAGGCCCTCGCCTCGGCTTGACCGTACGAGCACAGGGGAAACGGAAAACAACGGAAAACCCCGAGCGGCCAAAGGGCGGGGGCCGCTCCGTGGGTGGGAGGGTGGGGGGCTGGTAGCCTTACCCAAAGGCAGCATCTCGCTGTCTGCTGCTGTCAGCCGGTGGCCTCTGCGCCGGTCAGCTGGGTCCTGAGACCGGGCTCCGGAGAACCATGGCGAGAGCGTGACCCGGGCATTTGGTGTGCGGCTGCCGAAGCTCCCCCAGAAACGCTCGGCCCCGTGAGTGGAAGCAACCTGAGAACGGGAGGCCTGGAAGCAGGGGGCCTGGCACGAGCGATGACCCTGTGGCTTGCACAGATCGTCCCTGTGTGAAAGCAGTGTTTGTGGCAGAGCTCGTCTGCTCTCCAAGGCTGATGGCGCTGCTTCCCACAGCAGAAGTCATGGTAGCAGAACGTGGCAGTGCACTGGCACCTCACCTGTTGCCTGTCTGCACGTCTCATTGCTGCTGCATGAACAGCTGGGGTGTCTGGTGAATCTTGGTGAGCGACAAGGAAGTGGAAATCTCTGAGATGCCAGCAAGTAAACTCATAGAGTGAAAAGGAGTTGTTGGGTTTTTTTAAATGGGAGCTGGCTTGCTGAAATGTCCAGTGAGCATTAGCATGTGCTACATTGCGTCTTTAAAAGTACCCACTAACTCTTCCTTTGCAGCTGCTTGGTTTTTTCCCTGGCCGCCCAGTGAGTTGTGATGTGGCCAGGAGGAGGGGAGCTGTAGCTGTAGCTGTACCCTTTTATACATGTGGCCGAAAATAAGGGGTGTTGTTCGGTAGCTGGAGGTGTTTTAGGTGTTGCCTGCTGCCTGCACAGAAGTGCCGTGCGGGAGGTGCCCCCAGTGCTACTCCCACCCTCCTGGTGGTCTGGACAGATTCCCATGGCCAGAGTTCCTGGGCAGCCGTCAGATGCCTGCACTGTCGGATGCCACATAGATGCTGCACAGGGCCGCGGTGGCCTTTCCTTGTGCTTCTACATCAGTGTTACCACATGCCATTTAACAAAATTCCCGTAAAATAAAAGCGAGTAGTGTTCCTGTTCCCTCTCAGCAGGTTTGTGAAGTCAGAGGATGATGTTTCACGCTGTTGCTCCCAGTGAGTAAGACAGTGGCCGTTGGGTCACATCCCTGCTTCGGCGATGGGATCTTCTGCTGTGAATAGCAGCTTCTGCGCTGTCTTTAGATAAAACACGAACATACGCAGTACTTAAAGTTCATCGTTTTGTTTTGTACTGCATTGTTTGTTTGGAATTAAGAAGGTTGAGTATAATTTTTTAACAATTGCCATTTACAAGACAGGAAAAAAATAACTTGAATAGCAGTGCCTGAAATGAGATCGTTAAGCAAAGCGATGAATCACAATAACAAATTTTTAGCACGCCCATCTGTCTGTTCCAGATGGGAATACAAGAGCCTGTATGCTTTCAGTGCTTGCTTCATGAGGATGATCTACATACCTGCGAAAAATTAAAATAAATTAAATAAAGCTTCATACCACTGCCGTGCTGTCAGTGCGGCCCTGCCAATGGAGAGCTCAGAAGCTGAGGAGGTGCTGCTCATCGTGAGCCTTGTTGTTATTAAGAAAGCAGAAGGTTTTTTCTCGTTTGGTGTGCTTTTAACGCCAACTGCTGGCAGTGCTCATTTCCCAACAAATCTGAACTGCTGGTAGCATGGTGATTGAAAATCCGAGTGTGGTAGAGGTTAGACCTGGTCTCCCAAGTCCACGTGGTTTTCTAAGGAACTTTTCATTGAGGTTATTGTGTGTTTTTTCATAAAGGACTATAAACTCTGAAACCTGCTTCTGAGTGTTCAAATATTGTTCAGTTGCTCCTCTTCTCTTTTCAGTGGAAGCATGGAGCCTGCATTTCACAGAGGAGATCTCCTGTTCCTCACTAACCGAATTGAAGATCCGATCAGAGTGGGAGAAATCGTGGTCTTTAGGATAGAAGGAAGGGAAATTCCTATAGTCCATCGCGTCCTGAAAATTCATGAGAAGTATGTCGAGAATTTGGGGGATTGTACTGGAGATGTTTAGCTAAAGTGTAATTTTCCTCATCTCATTGGGGAAACGAATGGGGGTGACATCAGTAACAGATTTCCAGGTGCTGTAGGAAGAAGCAACATAGATGTTTCAGACAGATGAAATCTGTCCTCCTTGGTGTACTTGTAAAGATCATCCAGCAGAATTCACAAGCTGGGGAGTCTGCACTGGTATCCTGGATTCCCTGTGTCACTCAGTGTCTCCTGTGCCGTCATTTCCATCCCAAGCTGCTGCGTAATGTTGCTGTGTTGTCTCCTGTAGGTATGGCTGCGTCTGTGTGTGTGAAGTGACTCTTGTTTGTAGAGGCAGAACTTAAGGAAGAAGGGTGTTTTGTATGTGTTGTGCATTATTTTAAAGCTTGTCTTTGTGCTCCTGGTTCCTGCTGTCATGCAGAGGCAGGGTGTTTCTTTTCCTCTCTGTAGGAGCTGTTGTGTTGTTATACTTGGGGTCTCGATATGCGCTGTGCTCTCCGCATACTGTTTGTTCTGCAAACGTGTCTGAAGGAATGAAGCGCAGTCACTCTGGTTTGGTGGCTGAACAGGGTTTAGTTTTCCAAGCAAGGCTTTCTCGGCAGCCGTGAGCCTTCCTATTTTGCTGGTTGGGGAAGATGCAACTGTGACTGCTCCAGGCCGGTCTGCGGGGATGCAAGCCAGCCCTGTGAGTTGTTTGAGTGAAGACTAAATCTTGAACTGAATCCCTGGTTCTTCAAGCCAGCTCTGAGAGGGCAACGGTTGGACGGGGTCCCAGCAGCTGTTTCTGCTGAGTAATCGCCTGCTGCAACGTGACTGAATGGGAGCTTTACCAGGGCTGAGAGAGCTGTTCCTAGGTGAAGTGAATCACTTGAATCGTGTGTAAAGGTGGCATTTGAGGATTGCTCTGGTTAAATGAGGTCCCTTCCCCCAAGTACTCGTAGGAGCCGCAGCTGTTGGGACATCTCGACCATTTGTCTCGCCCAGCGTCAAGATCGATCAGCTCTGTGCACAGAAATAGTCCAGCTGCAATCCTGGCTATGAGAGGGTGGCAGGTATCCCAACGGACAGAGCAGATTCTTTGCTTTCAGATTTATTCTATTTCAAAAGCATTTAACAATTGTCAGTTGTCAAAGTACTGTTCTTCGATACCACTAATTTAAAAATAAGATCAGTATACTTCGTAAATTTGACATCTAAAGTTGCGTATGCACTTTTTGTCATGTCTTCGGAACTCTTAAGGGAAACGCTGCTTTCCTCCTCCCCTGTTGTACACTAAAGGCTCAGCTGGCTCCAGTGCTGCTGCGTGGGCTGATTATTAAACAGTCAAGAAAGGTCGGGGTCTTCTCTCTCCGCTCTCAGCCAGTGTGTGAGAAGGAGAAGCAGAAGTGTGCATTCTGCATGACAGTTCACCTCCAGATATTCCCCACCCTTTTTTATTTTTGCCTGGCTCTATCTCAGCACTAGGTCTTAAGGTATCCAATGCTTTTTTTTTTTAAATGTAACAAAACCATAGTGCCAATCGTAGATTCTGTGCAGTAAAGCCATTCTCCGGTATTTTAGGTTTCATTTAAATGAGACAACCAAACACAAACCAGATCTTCATATCAGGAAAGATAAAACTGAAAAGTACGTACTGTGACCTGAAGCTGGGCACTGAAGGCAGGCCTCGGAGGTATCAGTTGCTTCTTTCACTACTTAAGGAATATTTTTCTGGTGCCAGTTTGGAACTCAAGAGTGTCTTCTGAATGGTGGGAGTTTCCCATTTCTTCCTGTAGTTATGGACTGAATGAAAACTGAAAAGTCTCTGAAAGTTGACAGGAGTGTCAAAACGAAGGAAAACAGAAACCCTGTTCTCCATGACTTTGTGGCGGCCCGTGCTCCAGTTCACGTCAGTATTGTTTCAGTGAGGAAATGGGTTTTTTAGCCTTTTCTTCTTTGTTCAGAGTGAAATTGAGTTCATTCTTTATCACTAAACACAGAGTCTATGGTCAAAACTTACATAATGGTTTCGGTGTAGGACAGCCAGACCAGATTTCATTCACCTTTCAGACAGCAGAGCACCCGTGCTGTGGGCTTCTCGCGCTGGTTCGTGATGGAGCGTTGAAGCTGCTCAGTAAGATGGTGCACTCCTTCACCATCGGTTTTCAGAGCTGAAACTGCATTATCTGCACCTTTGTATAGCTTCATCTTTTTCCAGACTTTCTGTAAGCTCCTGGAGTATTTGCTAGTCCCACACTGTGAGACAGATGTGCTTTGAAGAAAGATTTTTTTTTTTTTTTTTTTAAACCCCTTTTTTCCTTCCAAGCTTCTCCTGTCAAGTCAGACACATTGGTATTCGGGCATGATGAAAACAGCATGAGCTCTGAAGATCTTCTGCATGCTTTCCCGAGTTGTATTTGATCTGTCGTTTCTGTGCACAAGCCGACAGAATCAAGTAAGGAGAACACTCCCGCTTGGCGTCTGTGTTCGGATGCCACAGGGCGAGGGGCCGACCGACCCCCGGTAGCGGCACAGGCTGCTGCTTCTAAGCAAGCCTTGCTGGCTGTCCAGGAAGCTGAATGGAAATGGCGGCGGAAGAGCTCATAACGTGGCGTATAAAGCTAGAGCGTAGCAGCAGCTGGTTCCAGGTCAAAGCAAAGGTTCATCTGCTCCACGGTCATGTTTCTGATCGGCTGACTAATTTGCCTCAGGACAAATTAAAGACTAGAGAGAGTGTGTAGCAGTATTTTCTCTGCTTCCTGCAAATTATGATTTCAGGCACAAAGTGACAGTTCTGTATTAATAGCCCCCTTTTCTTCTTTACGTGGACTACCTGCTCACTTTTTCAACTGATGTAATATTTTGGCTTTCAAAATATCCTTCCAGAGAGCCATGGTTTAGTTTGCACTATGTTAGTTAAGCATAGCACCTTCTCTGGCTTGTTTTAACCTGTTACCTCTGGGTTTCGTTGTTTGCCCTCTAGGTCTTGTGTCAGAAGAGGCAGTGAAAAACTGTTGCTGTCTGTGTCATTGGACTACCGTCATATCTCCCATCAGTTCTGTCTTTTCCAGGCTGAAGAGTCCTGGTCTGTTGTTTCTTGTATGGAAGTGGTTCCAGACCTTGTTATCCATTTCTGAACCTTTGCCAGTTCTTCTCTCCATTTCAAAAAAGGATGTAGGGGGTTCAGAACTGCGCAGAGCATTCAAGATGTAGGCACATCGCGAGTTCAAGCAGTATCATAATGGTATCGTTTGTGTTGTTCTGTCCCCCTTTCCTAATAATTTCCAAGTTTCAGCTTGCTTCTGACTGCTACTGAGTAGAACCATACACTTTAACCCCAAAGTCTCATTTTGGGTGGAAGTGTAGAGCCCAGAACCCAACATTTGTATATGAAGCAAGAGAAGCACCAACATGAGAGAGGTCAAAAGCAAAGAGGTGATAGCAGTACCTTCGCTAGAAATGGCTCATCCTGCTAGTTCTGTTCTTAAACTCTGCCGGAGAGCTTGGCTGGGGCCAGAATTCATTCTTTGTGGGCAGGCCTTTTCCAAACAGTCTGCTTTCCGCTGCATTTGACAGAGTTTCCCTTTTTAATCGTGCTTGAACATGTAGGGGACAGTTGTTTCTAGTATCTTTGTGTTAGTCTCTAAGCACTTGCTCTAGAACAGCTTTTAATAAGTTCTTTTTCTCTGACTTACCTGCCTGTCTTGTCTTTGCTAGGCAAAACGGTGACATAAAATTTTTGACAAAGGGAGACAACAACGCTGTTGATGACAGAGGGCTGTACAAACGAGGGCAGCACTGGTTGGAGAAGAAGGACGTAGTAGGGCGAGCGAGAGGGTAAGTGAAGTTGAAAGATGCAGCTTTTTACACTGCCCTCCCCCGATGCCATCTGTTAATCCCCTTCTCCTCTTGAACTCTCCCCGCTGGGTTTTTGTGACCTGCCTGAAAGCATTGCAGAAGGTGCCGTGGAGAGTTAAAAAACAAAGGTAGTTCAGTTCTTAGCTTGGCTTAAGCGAAGGTATCAAGCTGTGAGCTGCATCCTGACATTCTGATGCTGGACGGACAGCGGTGCAAAGGCAGTGTACACTCAGGCGTGATCAGAATTTTCATCAAAATTGCTCTGCAAGGCAGAGTCTTTGCAGGCAGAGGCTAAAACTCACTCTGGCTCTGGGGCTGCTCCTCGCTCAACCCCTGCTGCCCTGGCTTCCCTGCCTGGGGCAAAGAATTCGCAAGCCTGTTGACCTTCGCCTTAAGTATGCTTGAGTGGCTCTTCCTTTGTACAAGTGCCAGGGCAGTGCTTATCCCGTATGCACCCTTGAATACTGTTTGTTTGAATAAAACCTTTATTCTTGTAGATTTGTGCCCTATATTGGAATAGTGACTATCTTAATGAATGATTATCCAAAATTTAAGGTAAGAGCTCTTTCATTTTCTGCCTGCTTCTCCCACCCCGGCTAAAGTTACTTTGCGAGAGCTTTATATGCTCGGGCAGGACTGTTTACCCTGTATGTTTGCTGCCATTACTGCATCTTTAGATGTGAACATGCACTCTTCTGTCTTCTGTTCTTTCTCTTACAGTATGCAGTCCTCTTTTTACTGGGTTTATTTGTACTGGTTCATCGAGAGTAGCCTCTTGCACTGAAGTACGAAGTGAAGGTGGCATCGATTTTTTTTAGATGAATGTTTTAAGTAGACGATGGTCCGGTGTGCCGGGAGGAAGAAGAAAACATGCATTTCAAAGCTTCTTGCCAGTTTGGGTTTTTATTTTGGTTTTTTACTGCGTAAGGGCCAATGTTTGTCACAGTATTTCCAGTGGTTTGTCACATTTTAGCATTTTTAGTGAGTTTTTGTATTAAAAATTTAAGCCAAACTGTTCAGTGTCTGTACTTTGAAGCTGAGCTTCCTCTCAAAGTGCCTACAGGACTGTGTCCTCTAAGCCTGTGCCTCCACTGGGCAAGCGTGACCTCTGCCTGCACTGACGGAACTGTCGAACAGCGAGCTGTGGAGGTGGTGTTTTTTCCAATGCAGAACTGGAATAAAGATTTTGCATCTCGCCCAGTATGAGCCCTGCCACGTTCTTCTTTATTGCCCTGGGTGCAGCCTCCTTGCCCAGTTTCCTGGGGGGTACTTGCGCCTTGCCGTTGCGGACTGACTCCTAGAGCTTCACTAGAGCCTAGTGAATTAACTTGTCCTCTCTACACAGAATGATAGCAGCTACTCCTCTATAGATCCACTCAATATTTCTATGTTTCTGTAAATAACACTTCAATGATCTGCTTAAAGACTGCAAGGTGTTTTGGGCAGAAGATGGCAAAGGATTACTTTGTGCATAAGTTATCAGTGCAGCACTAGGTAACCAAAGAATTGACATGGGAAATACCATAGCTGTTTGGCAGGGAGAGTTTAGTAGGATGCAGTAGTAATATTTTTTTAGTTTTAGAAATGGATTTTAGGTCTGTAATGATCCCAGCAGCTGGCCACATCTTACAGCTTACCTGAAAGCTACAGGAAAGCTAAGCGCCCATTGCCCCGAGGTCTGAAAGAATAAACCACTTGTTGCACGTGGTGACAGCTTTTCTTCTGGGCTTCTCGCTCTGGGTGGTGATCCTGCTTGTGTAGATGCACTGTCAGAGGAGAGCCCAGGGAAGAGGTTCAAGGCGGAGACTAGGTATCAACTTCGACATAAATTTGTGCCACTTGCACCGGGTGATGGACCACTGTCACTCGCCTCCGCGGTGTCTGTAGTGACTCGTGAAAACATTTCACTTCCCCTTCGCTAGGGCAGATCTTCACAAGGGTAGGCGGTGGGTTCCTCCCTCTTAGGCTGCCTGACCCCTCCTGTTCAGTTGGTTTCCCTGTTGTCTTGCTAGCGCAGCTTCCCCCTGGCAGTGAGAGCCTGTCCCCTCCCCATCTGTGCTTTCCCGGGGTTAACAGCTCCCCTCTCGGTCTTGTAAAATCTACAGAGAGTTCAGAGCTACTGTGTGTTCCTTCAGGTGCATCTGCCCACATCCTCTATTCCCGCTTCTTTGTGACTGCTCCAAGATTCCACAGCAACCGGGATCACTGAAGATGATGACTGCTGCCGTGCACACAGCTTGCGTAAGGGTAAAAGCAATTGGGACAGGCAAGGACAAAACCCAACGGGGTGTTTATGGTCTGTTTTCAGTTTCTTGCACGTGTACCTCATGAGGCTTGTCAGGCCTGTCCTGTCTGTGGGGGTAAATTGTGCTGTTGGGTATGGGGTGCTGCGACGAGTCCATGAGCAGGTTCAGCCCCTAGCACTGAGCCTTGGGCCTGTGGCTCTTTGGGTGATCATAGCTTAGTAATAAAAAATGGTAATAAAATCCGTATCTCCAACTCCCAGTGCTGGAGCCCTTGAGAAGAGAGTTTGGATAGAGAGCTTCTCCAAAGTGCCTGAGTCACAGATGGGATGTTTTGTCAAAAGCCAAACCCAGGCAGCAGTGAGGGAACACGATATCTCTCTGAGAGCTGCCATCACCATAGAGCACCTTGCTGAGGACTTGGAGCAGCATTTCTGCCTGCACAGGTCACACTGAGGCTCTGTTCCCTGCTTTGCCTTTAGCTTAAACTGATGTTGCACATAAATCGGTTTTTCACTTGGGCTCACATAAAGGCCTGAGCTGAGCTCTTCTGAGACCTGCTAATCAGCACCTCCCAGTGAAAACTTGCTGAAAGTGCTGTTGTTGCTGTTCTCTGAGTCCTCTCGCTTTCACACCTTTTGCAAAAATCTGAGCCTGCAGAAGCGGTTGTGTTAACTGTCACTGAGTTAATTTAACAAAAAAAGGCTAAAATACAAAGATTTACAGTTGAAGGATATGCAAGGATTAGCTCTTAAAGAGCATCTGCTGAAACCCCAGTTCTGAGAGAAAAGAAATGGTCATTTTGAGATGTTGGGCAATAATAAGGTGCCCGTCCTGCTGGTGGCAGCACAGCCCCGCTGGCGTTGTTGACAGCAGG